GTGATGGTTTGGCCCCCACAGTGCCCTGATCTCAACATCACTGAGTCTGTCTGGGATTACATGAAGAGACAGAAGGATCTGAGGCAACCTACACCCATAGGAGATCTGTGGTTAGTTCTCCAAGATGTTTGGGACAACCTACCTGCCAAGTTCTTTCAAAAACTCTGTGCAAGTGTACCTAGAAGAATTGATGCTGTTTTGAAGCCAAAGGGTGGTCACACCAAATATTTTGATTTGGGTTTTTCTTCTGTTCACTCACTTTGCATTTTGTAAATTGATAAACAGACAATTACAATATGTATTTTTGAAAGCATTCTTACTTTACAGTTTTTCACACCTGACTAAAACCTTTGCACAGTATTGTATTTAAAAATGTTAAAGAGGTGCTCCAGATTCTTCATCATTATATTTAAAAAATTAGTTTAGTCATGATACAGAAGTTGCTTTAAAGATTTTAAATCTCTGCCTTAAGGAAAAGGCTGCAGAGTATTTTTGATCTTGCTATCCAAGATCCTTCCAAATGAAACAATTTTGAGAGTTTGCACAACACATTAAATCATTATATTAAATATGCAAACACAGATACACTGCTACCTTTTCACCAATGTCATATGGCTTTAATATTAACTGGAAATGGTATTGTTGTGGGTTCTTATGACACATTTAACCATAGAAAACCCCCTGATCATGATTAATGATCACATGTTATCATATTAACTAATAATGTTTGCTACATGAACACACTCTAAGAAGAGAGATGTCTAAGTTTGTTTAGGCATGTAATAAATAAATAATTCATGCATGCATGGAATTGATATCCTGGCTTATATTCAGGAGTTCAAGACAGGATATATAATGTTCCTTCTTCCTGTTTTTTTCTACAACCGCTACCATGTGATGTAATTTGGGGTGAGAGAGAGTGACTAGCCCAACGTATAGGTACACAAGACCAAGGAAGCAAGATCTACAGAGATTTCAATAAAATATCTTGTAATGCTTTTCTGGGGTAAATACAGAATCTTGGAAATTAGATGAATTTCCCAGTCTCATTTATAATTATATACTTAGTCAAGGTATATACTTAATTAGATTTCTCCCTATTTGCACTGAGTTGCCATTTATGAGATAAGCTGTTAGCTGATTCACTGTCAATGTGTTCCATCCTCAATCTCTCACATCTAAAGTCACCCAGTGAGAATCTAAATGAGTGTGAGAGTTGAAGATGGAGCTTACAGTTCTCAGCCCATATATGGAAATTATGTAAATATATGACAACTACTCAGCTTCAAGACCACCAAGCACCATTCCAAGGGGGAGGGGAGCCATGCATTTAAACTACTGTGGGTATTTGCACTCTCACTGGCAGCAGGCAATCAACCGTTTCGTATGGCTTCATTCTTCACTCTTGTTTGCAATAAAATTCTTATCTAGCTGAATTGTCTGTGAAGTTTAGCGTAGGAGTAAAGGTGAGCTGTAAAGCTATGTGATTTACCACCAAGTCCTAGTCAGAGGAGGCTGACCATGAGGCATGACTGAAAGCAATATAGAGCTTTCTCCACAAATCATGATTTCGCAAACAATTCAGAAGGCTGCAATTGGGGCAATCAATGATAGTTTTGTTCCAAAGATTACTTTGATTTCAGAACAGACATATCAATCACTAAATTCAATACTTCATCTTCTTCCATCCTCCCTCCTTCCCACCAAGGAATTTACCTAAGTGTCAAAATGAAATTTAATAATGCCCTTTGCAGTACGGCACTGCTCCAACATGTACAACTCACCTCCAGTGAATTAAAAACTACCCCAAATTGTCACCAACTGCAATGGGTTCAGGCTTTGCCACTAATGAGATCAAGCAACCAGGTGTAATAATTTCAGCTTAGTATGAGGTGCAGAAATGTATGCCAGTTCATAGTGCAATGGCTAATTTGCCCTGGGTCCTAAGAGTATAATGCAATGTGCACTTGCCCTAATGTTCAGCTGCAAATATTAGCATCATTTACTCTATTTTAACCCATGTCTTTTCTGAGTTATTAGGTATATGATGGAAAGAACTGCTTTTAGTTGGATTTTATACTACTGGCCATACCTGTTCAATTTCATGAAAATGTTAATATTCCTGTCACTTTCTCTATAAAATTCTAGTTTTTCCTTTAAGTAATCATTACTTTGAAACAGAGCTGCTTTATACCTTTTGCACAGCAAATGGATCCCGTTGTTCATTGTCCAGATACTTTTCAAGGTTAAAGAATGTATTATAAAATACATGAGCCATTCTACATCTCTTCAAATCTCGCAGAGTAACTCTTCCTGAAAAACCAGCATATATTATTTTACTAGCAGTCAACAGTTCTTAGTGGATTGGGACAAAAAAGCCCCTAGCTCATAGATCACAAAACAATGGGTATTTAAAGATTTGTAAAGGAGAGTAAGAGCATCTTTCAAAGCTGAGTCACATGTTCTCTTAGCAGGTTTAGTTCCAAGACAAGTTGATTGATTTTGTCCACTCAGGTTGAACCAGTGTGTGCCAACCTGATCATGTGAAGTTCTCACAAGCCTTTTCCATGAATAATCATGTAAAATTTCATGTTCTATAGATGCCAAGCAAGTTGGTTGACTTGTGTTTAAACAAAGAGACTTCTTACCTATGCTTTGAAATGTAGCTACAGTTAGTAGAATAACTATAGATACTGGTTCTAACATCATCATCATCATCATCATTACTATTAATAGACTCCCAAACTCCTAAGGACTCTTGGTGGTTTATAGATAAGATACATAAGAAACAATAAACAAAATGTATATAAATAAAAGGTTGGCAAACTAATGAAAAACAGAGAATAAAGTTAAATTAACAAAACCAAACTATACCCAAACCAAATCAGAATGACCACTGGAAGAGCTCTGTTTTGAGCAGTTTCTGGAAGGCTGAGTGGGAGCCAACTGGATGTCTACTGGGAGGACATTCCAAAGAACCAATGAAAAGCAGTGCCACTGAGCCTTGCCCCCCTCACCTCCCTAAATTGGGGCATTGCTAATATTTTTTCCCAGATAGATTGAACTGACCAGGCCGATTCCAACTAAGATAATTACTTGCTAGAATTGAGGACTTTTGTTCTTGGTGAAGGCATTTATAAGGTTGACTGCTAAGAATGAATTCAGATAAGTTAACCAAAAGAAGTCAATGCATTTTGTCATATGCCTTTCAAAAATGCCTATGTGGAGAGGCTTACTATTATTGCTTTCAGAGTGATGTGTGTTGAGTTAATTAGCATTGTGCCTCATCTGTGGCTAAATGTATGATCACTCATACCAAATTATAGATCATTACATAACGTAGGGAATTATTATCCCATTAAAAAACAACAGTAATAAATGTACCTATTATGCACTGAATCATCACATCTATTTGCTATTTGCTTCAAATGTCTGAGTAACTAAACTAAAATTCCATATTAGATAGTATGGTGGATCAGGATAACTTTTGTGATCCTTTTCACATTAATCAGAGAACAGGTTGAAGGTGCAAAGACTAACAAGCTACTATGAAAACTACTTTTGACCATATTTCAGTAAAGAGATAAAACTCTTTAAAGCACCATAGTGATCAAATTTACTAAAAAACAAAAGAGAACAAACAACCTGGAAGAGAGAATTATTATATAATAGTTCTTACCCTCATATTCTGGTTTTACTAGATCAAGCATTTGGCACAATAGGTCATGGAAGGGCAATGGCTCAATGCCCATAGATTCCATCCTCTCACACTGTTCCTCATAAAAATACTCAAGTTCATACATTGATAGTGTGCCATCCCCATCCAAATCCATGCATCGGAACCAGTATTCAATACTACAAAACAGATGAATCAAGGTGTATTTTTTATAGTATGGTAGCAAGTAATATTTTCAAGCAACAAATGTTTTTGGGATGGCTTTCATGTGCACACTAAAGCTTTGTCTGGATTTTCCCATATGACAGCTTGCATTGGAAAGTGGTACCTTGAAGTTCAGACCATGAGCTAAGACATATAATACTCTCAGTTGTTCAGTAGAAAATTCTGTATTCTTTTCCCATCCTAAAACTGACTTTCAGTATCCTTGGGAGAGTTTTCAGATGGAAAGCTGTTTGCTTTTAGCAGCATGATAAAAGTTTTATATGATAGAAACAACATGCAGAACATGAGAATACATAACTTGTTTGTTTTTATGACTGTTTGCCACCCAGAATCACTGGTTTGAGATGGGCGGCTGTACATATTGAATGAACAAATGAATAAATAAATAAATAGCTTGGAAGAGGGCTTTTGTAATAAAGATCATTTTTGCAATAAAATACTCTTGTTGCAGGTAAGTTCTCTCCTATTTACGGCTCTTCTCGTGTTACTTTTATGGCTGGTAATCAGGCTGGAGTGGCATGGAAGGTAGAACTGCAAAGAACTGGTGAAATCATGATGGAGCATATTACCTTCAAGATCTTGAGTTCCAGACAAAGAATTGGTAGTAGTGTTCGATCAAGTAACACAAAAGGGCCCTAACAGTTCACATATATCATTGTACACAAAATGCAAACTGAAGAAATGTACTTAAAGATTGTGAAATCAAATATATAATTAATGTGTGTATGTGTGTGCATATTTTGCACTATATCATGGACTCATAGCACACAAAAAAGCAAACTGAGGAGTAGTGCTGAGGGAAAAAAACACTGGAAAGAGATTGGGGACTCATGGAACAACAACACATTCCACAATAATTTCTACTCACTGTGGTTATTAGTTTACAAAAAGAAAAATAATATTAACATTAAAAACAAACAAACAAACAGCTCTCCTATCCTCATGTACCCCAATGTTCATATTTACTCTGTCACCAAAAATGTAAAAAGTATAATCAAAATCAATAAACTTGTTGGCTGGTGATTTTCAGTGCACTGTTGTCTCTTGCTTCTCTTTTCTATTCTTCGTGCAAACAATCAAGAAAACACATTCATTCACAGCCCAAGAAGAAACACATACTACCACAGATTTAACTATCATTGACTTATACTCTTTGATTTCTTAATCTCTGTCTTTCTATGCTTGTTGCTCAGTGCTTTCTCAGGTAAAGTTAGGAGGTAAAGGCTCAATGCCTGCTAATTTTCATTGCTAACCACTCTTCTTGCCCTCACTTTGATGAGTGAAAAAAAGCAAGAGAACTATTGGGATGATCTCTGTTGGCAAAGAAAAACGTTTTGTAACAAACCCCAGAAGCTATTAATATCCTTAACTGATGTCCCATTTTAGATTACAACCAAAAACTGGTTGGGACTGCATTGATTTGCTGTTGTGGTTGTCTTCTCTGTGCAATCTGCTTCAAAAAGTCTGTTTTTGAGGATGCCTTTCAAAATTAATTCATCATTCTGAGTGACCAAACAACGTTCCCTTTAAATTTTACTTCATGACCCTTCGGTGTCATGTATTTTACTGAGAACAGTTTGGATTCTCGATACACAAGTGCATCTTGAATTGTCAAATTAATGTATTTTCTTTTGCTCAGCATACCACAACTCCTTGCTGAGCATCTTCCTGCTCAAAGGAGCTTTTGCCCATTTGCTAATAAGTTGCTGATTTATATCCAAGTTCCAATTTTATAAATCCCTTTTTCTCTTTAAAAAGGTTATTTGTAGCACCAGGAATGATATAAAAGCCATTTTCTAATGGAGAACGTTAGGCTTCAAGAGTTGTCTCTGAGTTCACTTTCAGCAATTCATTCACAGTCTTCCTTTCACTGTACTTGCAATGAATCCTACTCTTTGGAACATGAGTAGGCTAGCTTGCCTGGATTGCTCTTTCTTGGCCAAAAAGCTTACAAATGATCCAGGGTATTACAAAGCATGCCCTCTTCCTGCATTTAATCTTGCAAACTGTGTCTTCAACAATTGTTGATTTTTCTTCTTTCAGAATTATGCAAATCAAGCTCTTATAGATGGTTAATTAAAAACTGAGATCTGTCCCATCTCTCATTTCTAGTGCATGAACTACAGTTTTATAACTATAGGGAAGAAATAGGGAATTCAGGACTAGAGCAATTAACATTCTGGCTGAATTGTCATGTTTTGTTCTTTAAACTGCCAGTCTAATTCTCAAGTTTAATTGACCTGCAGACTCAAGTCTTTCCTTCACGCAGCCATTTATTACACAACTTTCTGTGGACCTTTTATCATAGAGATCTATGAACTCACCACCTGGAGTGAGCAGGCATTTTTTCTTCCTGGGATCCAGAGTTTTGGTGCTACTGGGAAGGAGGGTTAAAACAGCCCCACCCTCTCCTTAATTGGAGAGTTTGTTTTATAAAAAATGAACTGAAAACAAGCATGTGTGTGGGTGTGTTGAGAAAAAGAGTCAAGGCCAGAGGACAGCAGAGATGTGGGAAAGAGAATCCTCCAACCCAAAGGCAAGCATCTCAGCAGAAGTCTTCAGACAGCAAGAGAAAACTTCAATTCTTAATGCTGCAAGACCACTGAGAGACAGAGCTAAGAGACAGGGAAGGAGAAGAGCCTGACTAGAGTCTGCAAGCCTGCAAATCAAACCAAGCCCACTGCATGCAGCAGCCCAGGTGCAGAGCTCTACAAACCAGCTCCAGAAACAGAGGACTGTGAGTGCCAGGGAGGGGGGAGAGAAAAGCCCATTTGCAAGTCTAGAAAGGAGTGAAAGGGGTTTTCACATGCAAATGGACTGAGATTGGCTACAAGAACTGAAGACCTGGGGGAAAAGGAAAGATTTAAAGAAATAGTTAACATAAGAAAACATAGTGCTAACACAGGAATAGGAACACAGAAATAGAACATAGAGATAGAAATGTATAGATTAAATAATAGAAATAGAATAGTTAGTAAACTTATAGTAATAGGAAGATAGTAGATTAAGATAGGAGCTTCATTTTGTACAAAATAACAGTTTTGTATGGGAAAAACAAATACAAATACAGTCTGTGTGTTCTGTATCATATTAAGAAAAACCCAACACTCCCAAATATATTTGGCTTAATCTAGATGCCATAGCCGCATAATAGAATAATTCATAGTCAAGTATATGATCCTGCTATGCTGCCATTTGCAATATCCCAGATTCTCTGACTCTTCCCTGCACCTATAATTTTGTCTAGTTCATTTTCATCTTAACAAACCAAAGGGGAAAGAGTCTGCACTTTTAGCTTTTCAATGGACTGAAACTTTCCTGTCTCTATTCTGTTCTTGTCTATCTTCTCCAATACAGGCAGTCCTCACTTAACGACAATAGGGACAGGAAAATTGGTTGTTAAGCAAGTCACCACATGATCAGACCTGACTGTATGACCATTTTTAGGATGGTCGTTAAGTGAATCATGTGGTCGTTAAGCAAATCCAGCTTCTCCAATGGACTTTTTTGCTGGAATTTGCTTAACGTCCATGTGACTTGCTTAATGATGGTGGTGATTTGCTTAACGACCATCATAAATTGTGATCACGTGCCCACAGGGGATGATGTGACAGTTTGTGACAGCCATAAGCGCAAGTACAGGTTATAAAGCACTTTTTCCAAGGCCGTCATAATTTTGAACCATCATTAAATGGTCGTTAAGTAAGGACTACCTGTACCTCTTTTCAACTGCTCAGGATGACTCATCCTTCTCTTTCATAGAATTTTTTGCTCTCTGCCCTGGATTCTTAACTCTGTTGGAAAAAGCAGTTTGGGTTACTGGAGAGTAGGAATCTATCTTGAGCAAAGACTATTGAAGCAGCTCTTTGTAAAGAAGCTTTGTTGTAGAAAATACAAAGGAAACTGGTTAGCTTTCTAGCAAGGTACATCCTTTTAGAGACATAGCCAAGAGACCTTGGGTTTGTGAAGCAAAAGTAGGTTGAAAGTTCCCTGAGAGTAGCAATCCCTCAAAAGCTGGCAGAGCAGGAGATAAAGAGGGAAAAGAGCCAAGTAATTGTGAAAAAGGAAAAGGCATTACAAGAAACACAAAATAACCCCATATTGATTCTGTGTGGTATAAGAGGGGGCAGAGGGAAACTCTGGCAGGCTTTCAAGAGTCTATTATTATACTTGCATCAATGAACTAGCATTCCTGTAATCCCTGCATTGTATGTTTCCTGACCTGGCTTATCTCAAAGTGCTAACATACTGACAGTCATAGAATCAAAGAATATAGGAGTTGGGAAGTATTATTTCTAGGATCATCTAGTCGAACTACTACAGTATCCCCAAGAGATGGTCTTCTAGTCTCTTGTGGGGGATTTTTAGAGAAGGAAATTCCATCACCTCCCAAACAGTCTATTCCTTGGTTGAACAGCTCTTACTCATGTCCAACCAAAAACAGCTTACTTATAATTTAAACCTATTGTTTCTTGTCCTCTCTTCTTGAACAATGCTGACCTCACACCCATTGCACTCTGCATCTCTTTCAGTTTTTGGATCAGTGCAAGAGTAAACCCACATAGTGTACAAACTAATTAAGAGATTAGCCACATATGGACAACAGTCACTAGGCTTTCTATTTATATTTTAGATATCTTATTTTACCTTGTGGGACATCTTTTGTCTTCTTCTGAAATTAGAAACCACACAAAGTCTGCATAGCTCATCTGGTTTTCTTTGTGTTCTTGGCTTCCTCTAAAATGTATAAAAATATGTAATTCTTAAAAAAAATACAACAGAGGCAAATTTTAAAAACTCACAGAGCAATCTGAAAGGGATCAAAGATGAAATTTAAATTCCTAAGAATATATTAGGGCTGATGATTATCCACTACCTAATTCTTTGAAAAGCAATGTTTTATTAACCTGAAGACATACTCCAGACAGATTTGGAATCTTATCCTAATATTGCTAACATGACAACTGTGAAATCAGGATCCTGGTTGAGTTTTAGTGCAATAATTGTGAGGACTGTCTTTGAAGAATATTATGAGGAGGAGGAGGCAGCAATGCCTCTTCACAACCAGGAACTTCAGGGTAATAGGGAATTATTGACACTTGTGAGGGAACAGCTGGTGGTGAATGCCTCTCACAAAGGAGAAATAACTATGATAAAGGAGCTATTAGTATCCATGCCCACTTCTCCTAACCCTAAATAATTTAAGTCAAAATCCACATTTTTGAAATGTTACCATCTACTTACCTAAGGACAGCTCCAGTGAATATTCTTTCTATAATTCTGCTTGACAAAGCTGTAGATTAAAAAAAAAACAGAAGTGTGAGGGCTGGCTTGTAGGCTGATCAGGAGACAGTTGTGTAAATAGCTACCTGGAAGCTCATACATTATTGATAAAAAGAACTGCCTCCTTGCTAGATCACAGAAAAGCCAATAGAAAGAAATTACAAAAGCCTCCACCCTAAGGTCTTAGAAGACAAATAGATTCTTAATGCAAATAGTTCAGTTGCTGAAATTCTTGTAACCGTATGCCTTTGGCTTCAAGACATCTTGTTAAAAAAGCTCTGCTTGCAAAAAAAGGTCATTGTTTGAATTAACTACAGCCTGACAAAGGAATGCTTAGGTTCCTTAATCTGTTTGCTATGGTATAAAACCACTGCTTTTTCCAAACAAAAGTGATATATGTAAAGACAAGCACATGCATGCAGCAATGTTCAATTTTATGTAAAGTTCAACACGAGCATTATCATTATGTTGTTTCCTAGATATGTCTTTATTACATATCAATTTATTATCATTATTTTAATTTTGAATTTCTTTCAATCATTGCTTTGGTCTTTTAATGCAAGAAATCTTCTTTAATATGTGGAAGGGCCATTAGGGTAAACCCATACAGTGTACATGAATTTGAGATGTTCAGTCAAATATTAAAATTGTGAACACCTGCATGCTTCAACCAACTGCAGAATAAGAAAAAAAATTCCAGGTAGAAATTAGCATTATTGCAGGATTTGAAGACAATGAAGAAGTTTGGATTTAGTTTCTGTTTATGATGGTTTTGATTTTCACACATCTTCCTTTGCGATGTTATGGCAAACACATAATTTTGTTTAACAATTTGTTTTGAGCTATCCTTTATATTCTTCAGAAGTGACAATCCATGTACTGAATAACATGTATTAAAACAATTTCCTATAGCCAATTCTGAATGGCAGTAAATGACTGAAAAAGCAGGAAGTGGTATCAGAGAAGTCTTTAGTAAAGCATGGAGGAAGTTAGGTTAAGTTTGATAATCAGGGATTCCCATAAATGGTATATGTGTGTGTGCTCGCGCGCTTGTCTACATGTGTGTGTTATTTATATTAACCTGTTATTTTGCATTTGAATTTTCTTACCTTGATCATTGTATCTAGTCAGATCACTCTGATTGATATAGAGATCATGATCAGTGTCCAGTTCCCAGAATTTACAGTAAATAACATAGAAGTGCTCATAGGAAAAATAGTCAGTGATTTGATTAATGTCTTCCTCTTCTTCTAAGAGTGCCAGAGTCTGAAAAGATGAGAATGGATTCATTCTACATAAGAAGGTGCTAGGAAAGTACCAGAAACTTTAACTAAAATAATGTAATGTTTATTACGATTTAGTATTATTTATTATGAAAATAGCTTGTCTAGTATTTCATGCAGTCTTACAGATAACTGGCTTTTAATTTCCTCCTTCCTTCTTAAATTAAGTTCTTATAGGATAGCAGATGCCAGTGCCATAACTGGAGTATTACTTAATTCTATATTAACTGGAGTTTAGATTTGCTGTGCTTGCTAGGCTTTTATTTGATTGTATCAGTACTAATACTTATCTGATTACTGGAATTCTTCTATCTAGTGTATCTAGCTAGATTAGCATATCTCTAGTATTTCCTTCGTATTTAAAATCTGCCTATCTTCCCAGAATGCATAGTACTTTTATTGCTAATCCAATTGAAGTGCAAAAAAATTATGAGTAAGTTATGGGAATAAGAAGTATTTTGAGATACATATTGTTCATATGGATGCAAAAAATTAGCATACTTGCAGAAAGTTGCTTTTCCTCAGCTCTGTTAATGATATTTTTCCAGACCACGATCTATTCACTATGTAAAATATTCTTTGAATAACCTGGAAAAAAGATTAAATATACATCTCAAAAATCACTGGCAAATCAGAAAAGGACTTATTGCTTGTGCAGATTAAAGAAAAAAAATGCTCCTGAAATCTAACAAGTTTTGTATTACATAACCTGTAATAATGTATTACATTTGTTTATGTTTGTAAAATATGTATACTGTATAGTGTTTTTAGACCACAAATGCATTAATGAAATTCTTAAAATCTAGAACACAGATTACAACAATGGTCTATCACAGTGACATCTGTAAAGACACTGAAGATAGAAATAGACACAATAAGATTACTTAATTATAAAAAAATACTAGACTCATAGAATTGGAAAGATCCATCAAGTCCAATGCCTGCTCAATTTAGGAATCCAAATTAAAATATCCATAATAGATGGTTGTCTAGCCTTTGTCTGAATGCATCCAATGAAGGGACGCGCACAAACTCTCTGAGTAATTGATTCCATGTCAAACCATTAATCAGACTTTTAACTACTATAAAGTCCTGTGGGAGCAAAATTTTCAAATACAGTCCCAGTGTCCCAATCACTGTGATGCAGTAGACAGTCCATCAGTTATATAGTTTAGTGATATCAGAGCTTTAAAGATAAGAAATGGCAATTTGAGCAGTGTTTGGAGATGGACAAGGACATGAGCCAAATTTTAAAGATCCAGAAAAACATATTTCCAACATGCTATTTTAATTAGTAATGTAACAGCTGCACTTTCCCAGCAGTTTTCAAAGAGAACCCCACATTAATTGCATTCAGTTGCACTAAATTTCTTTCATAAGTAGGACTGGGAAGGAAAACATGGTAAACCACTTCTATACTGTTGTAAAAAAAAACCCTATATGGATATGCTTATGTAGCCACAAAGAATCATTTTATTAATTGATTATAATTGTAAACAACTGAGCAAAGTTTGTAGAAAAAGCAAACTGGATATGAAAGATAATGAAGAATTAAATAGTTGAAACAAATCATTGCCAATTAGCCAACCTGGATTTGTCTTACTTCTGACACTGGTCATATTTCAATCTCACTATGAATCATGAAACTTTGCATAGAGAAATGCTAACATTGTACATGTAGCCAACATACCGTAGTAATGTAGCGGGAATGAAATTCTGGGGCATCCTTTAGAAATGTGAGTCCTGGGTGAGTTTCAACTATATCCTGAAAGACACCAAAATTATTAAATACAGAAAAACACCATAACCTTTTTAAACTAGCACAGTACCTAAAGGGAAGTTAGGGAAAAGTAAAATGAAAATTTACCACATGATAAGATATGCTAACTTGCTCTAACCATATAGAAACAAGGAAAGAAGGGATGATGGACTTTCCCTCCTCTTTCTGCCACACCACTGAATCACAAAACCTTGGCACTGGTTTACTATCACACAATTCCCTCCTCAATGCAAGAATCCAATTTAAAAAATCAGTGACAAATGGATATCCTGCCTCAGTTTGAATTCTTCCAGTGAAGGGGAGCTACCTCAGTAATTGGTTCTACTCTCAAACTATTTTTACTATTATGAAGCTCTAGGCTGGAATACAAAAGGATCGGTCAAACATACCTGCAGTATTGGGATGAAATCTTCTTGTTCCAAATAGTTGCAGTTGGGCTTTGCTAAAAGGCAAATGAATTTTGATGCATCATCATGACAGTTGTATAGTATCCTACAAAGGAGAAATAAGACTGTAAGAGCATTCCTATCAATCTGAGTTTCTAAAGAAGGAAAAACATTCTATGATTTCAGCTTAATTCAGCGTTTCCCTATCTTGACATTTTTCAAATGTGGCATGAATTGCCAAAATTCTCAGCATATTATTTGGGGAATTCTAGGACCTGAAGTCTATAAATCCAGAGAGCACTCAAGCAGAGGAAGGCTGCCATAACCTTTTATTCAACACCTATAATATGGAGGCTAAGCTACATGTTACATTCAAAACAGTTTTGCCTTTAAGTGCAAGGTTATTGTTGTTGCTTCACATATGGAACAATAAGAAAAATGACAAAAATAACTAGGCACAATATTTTATATATCTAGCTATATCTATATATCTTCATGTGTATGTATGCATGTATGTCAGCCCCACTATGTAGACCAAACCAAGATATCAATTCTACCCAAAGACTAAAACTACTTTTAATTAATATTGGCTATAGAAACAGAATCTTGCTAGTCTGACTGTGCTCTTCCCCTCCCCACTCAAAATACTCATGTGAATTAGGGACTCTTCTGCCTGAGTCTTTTGAGCATGCCTTCTTCTTGTTTTGGACTTAAGCCATGTTTTTTCTCTTGTTGCTTTGGTAATGGATTTGGCCTATCTCCATCAAGGTCATCTTCCTAAATCCCTACAACATGTGTGTGTGTAAGGTAGGTAGGTAGGTAGGTAGGTAGGTAGGTAGGTAGATAGATAGATAGATAGATAGATAGATAGATAGATAGATAGATAGGACAGAGATATGGTCTACCTTCTTTCCTTCCTTCCTTGATTCAATATAGAGCTGCCACAGGGGGTAATCATTAAACTCTTCCCCAAGCTATATAATTCAGGAGTCCCCGCAGCCCACAACCCCATGGAAGAAATACTGAGTTAAAAAGAATAGAACAACTTCTACTGACATAGTGCCAGTTGAGGGCTAGTACTTTATGTATTGTACAAAGATTTATTTTTGTCTGTTAGAAAGTACATAAATTAACATAAGAACATTGGGATTAAAATGTATATTTTTGTCTTACAAATGTCTTACAATATATATTTCTTTGATCTGGAAATTGATATGCTGACCTTTGAAATTGGATTTGTCAATGCAACATATAATCAAACAATCTAAAAATGATAAAAACTATAAACAAAAACATGAAATGTAAACTAAACTAAACAGCCTAAAACCAACTAGTAAAAATAATATATAATAATAATAATATCATCATCATCATCATCATCATCTTCAGGGAACAAAAACATAGCTTGCTATGTTTGAGAGCTCAGTCCTCCCCCCCCCCCCCCCCGG